TGCTTTTCAAATAATTTTTTTTATAGTTATACCGTTTATAATTGGAGGATTTAAACTCAACATACGCACATACGTTTCAATTAAATAAATATATTTCCGTGACTTTTGTTCGATTAAAGATTTCATTTGTGTACGTGTCTTTAAAAAAAAAGAAAAACATCAGATGTACAGTAAAAGTTTGCAAACGTACATGTGATCCCTGTATACGTAAATAAATATAACGTTTGTGAATTTCCAAGGCGAAGCAATAATTGAATTTGCTGGAATAACCACGTCGTTAACCCTTTGGCTACGAATTGGACTTGGTGTGCGTGATTCCAGCGAAACAGGATTAGTTGCAACAAAAAGGCAGAAAAAGTTCAAATGTAAACAATATTCTCTAGGGATTGATCCAACATTTTCATTTCTTTGTGAAAATTATGAAAACAGCAGCTATTTGTTTTCGATGTTGTCGAATTTATGCCAAAAATTTCTTGTTTATATTTTTCGAAATTGTTAAAAATTAAAAAATGTTCGATCGTCAATCTCTAGTTAATGTTACGCTAAAGATACGTTTACAAGTTTCACAGTAATCGGTTGGTTACATTCCGAGGTATCTTGCACACCGTTTCTGAAAACCTAGTTTCGAGAGAAACGCGTTTAAAGTTTCAGAACGTCATTTTTCACACGTATCCTTTACTTACTTTATATATCGCCGTTCTTACAATTCACAACTTAAATTAAATCCAAGTCCCCTAATATCCGATTCGCCAGAAGTGATATTTGAATCGCACGATTTACACTTTATAGACAGTGATGCAAATTCAATTATTCTGTATCCGCAAGATTTATTATTACACCCCGAAATAAGTCGTTTCGAAGGGACCTGGGACCTTTTCTATCTTATTTCTAAGACTTCAAAGCTACTAACTTTAAAACAAAACAAAACAACAATCGACTTTTTTGAACGCTTCAAACTCTCCTGACTCGCTTGAGATTCTACGAACATCTCTCGGGATTGATATTGAACATTTTATCTTCGCGTCTGTCACCGTGACAGATTCGTCGGAGTCGAACTCTCGCTGGGAAGTCTGCAAGTCCAAACAGTCTCGCCAGTTTCGAGGGCGAGAGCGAAGCCTCTCACCCCTTTCGCCAGCTTGTTTGTCGCAAGACGTCGGCCGGATTTGTAAACCATCCAGTTCGAATCGGCCGAATTATTCCCCGAATCGCGGGGGATAATTAAGGAAGTTTCACCGAGGACAATCCGTCTTGGCTGGTTCGGAGAACAGACAGGCTGGTCCGTAGCGATCTACGATCAACACTCTCTCTTTCTCTCTTCGATCTTCACTCCTCCGATGAATACCACCACCACCACCACCACCACCAGACGTTCGATACGTCTTCTCTCGTCTCTGGCTAGCTTCGATCTACCAAGAGACAGGCGAGAGACATGCTCGCGTCAGGAACTTCTCGAGATCTCCTCCTTCGAACAATACTAACCACCCGGTATTTACTGCTGCCGCACCTTGTAATCTCGCCTCGCAACTTTCTCGGTGAAACAAGCGAGACAGGCCAAGTCCAAGTGAAACGTGGAGCTTCCCGGTATTGGTACGACGGTTTTCACTGATAAAAGTGACGCCGAGCGTCGACCCGTTTGATAAATTGGAACGGAAAATTCTGCGACTCCCGTTGCGAAATTTGCCCCGTGTTTATACCGGGTTGTCGCGTCGCGTATCGACGGAATTTGACGCGGAATTAAAGTATTGTAATTAATTTCGTAGATACGCGCCGTCGTTTCCAATTACTCGTTGCACTCGCTTTCCGCTTTTACGTCGCGCAATTCCCATTCCCGTTGTCCCGCAGCTCGCCTTTGTGACTGAAAGAAAAGGACCACGCGAGATTTACATTAAATAGCCGCGGCAGGAGGGGGGGAAAAAAGCGAGAAAAATCGCGACTCGGTTCGCCATTCTCGGCGAGAATGCGAGCCAAGGAATATCGTGATGCGTCGTACCGTGACGTTTCTCTGTCCTCCGTGCAAGTGTATAACGTATACATATACAGGGTGGGCCGGAATACAACCGAGCAGGGAGTGACTCTACGTCAAAAAATAAGAAAAAAAATTTGGTATAACATTTTTTTTTTTTATCTGGGCCTCGGTTTTCGAGGAAATCGACTTTAAAGTTTGTTCGTCTTTGTGAACGATTTAGTTGTCCAATTCTTCTACCGCGGTTGTCTCCGTCCGAGACAGTGTTTGCAAACATTATTTATTGCGTGGTTAAAGCGGTGCAAAGTGTTCCTACTGATAATTAATTTTTCATTCCTTATTACTACTATCTATTGCAATACTACAATACGGTACACTGTTACAAGTATTGTTGAAAACGTCCTCCTCGTTGCTGCACACACAAGTTTGCTCGACGAATCGATGACGTCTGAACAGAATGTAAGCCGATGTCGTTTTTTAATTTCTCGAATTCCTCCATGATCTTTTGCTTCGAGTGTGTAACATTTGAAATGTTGTCTTTATAAACTTGTTCTTTGATACGCCCCCATAAAAGAAAATCTAGAGGCGCGAGGTCCGGAGACCTTGGTGGCCAACGTACCTCACCGTCGCGGCCGATCCAACACGAATACGTTCGATGAAAAAAATTTTTCACCTCCCTCGTGTAATGTGGCGGTGCACCGTCATGTTGGAAAATCATACTCCTTATAGTAGCCAAGGGTACATCTTCCAACAACGAAGGCAACTCATTGAGTAGAAACTCAAAGATGAGCAAACTTTAAAGTCGATTTTCTCGAAAACCGAGGCCCAGATGTAAAAAAATGTTATACCAAATTTTTTGTTCCTATTTTTTGACGTAGAATCACCCTATGCTCGGTTGTACTACGGAATTCCGGCCCACCCTGTGTATAAAACAAGGGGTTACGGAGGTCGCGGCAGCATCAAAGTACGAACCAAGTGCCTCCATCCTCATCCTCGGCCTCGGTTTATGGCCGAGCGTCTCGGTGAACGAGAGAGCATAAGCGGTGACGGAAAAGGGGAAATTTCATTTTGCATGCCGCCCCGTTTTCTTTCCCTCGCTTCCGCTGCCCCCCCCTCCCCTCCCCGCTCCTCCTTTTTTTTCACCGAAATTATCTGCGAACCACTCTACACGCAGCGCTCTTTGCTCGTTAAAGCGGAATATCGAGCTCCATGCAAGCTCTGCCTCTCGTCGATTTTACACACACGCGCGTATATATATATATATATATATATATATATATATATATATACGTTCGACGAGCCTCTGTGCCGTTTGACGACGAAAATTTTCATATTGTAGATGAATAAACCGGTACTCGCTTGTTCCGCGAATCTGTCGATTCTGTGAATAAATGTAAGAAAAAATACGGCGGACGACAAACGTGCGGAAAGGGACGTTTCACGGGAAAGCGAAAAAGCGAGGATATTAATCCACGGGATATAATCCTCTATTTCAGACAGCTTTGAAATCTACTAATTGGCCCGGAGCCATTGGCTTTCAGAAACAAAAATTCGCGAACGCGAAAAAAATGCCCGCGCGTTTTTCGCGTGTTTGGGGATTACCGGGCGCGCAAATTTGCTGACCAGAGTTGGGCAGTAATCGATTGCCAAGTAGTAATCGTATTAATTATTAATCAATCAATCATCAGTAAGCTGGAACAGAAATCAGTAATCTTGATTGACTTTTGTTATTCGCGATCGTTGATCAGTAATTTTTATATCGGTCGATCAAGTGATTAACTTGTATTTACACGTCGAAACGTGTTAATCACTTAGGGTTATAGTACTCAGTATGATTGAAATTGTTAAATCGCTTGCAGTTTGAGCAGTAAAGGGTATATCTCTTCTTTACTGGATAGTAGTATCCATTGAATTTAGAATAACTTGTTGAAATTTGTAATTCTCTGATACATATTTATGAGAATGGGCACGTGTAAAATTTCGATCGTTTGGACAAATTTGTTATTGAAGTCCAACGACAACTCAAAAATAATACATTATAAATAATTGACTTTTTCTTGAAAATTTTTTTTTTTTTTTACACTCGGAACAAATCCTGACAAAGTTGTAGGACTGTACACATTGGAAAACACATGCAAATGATAAATAATTTGTAGATGAAAGTAAACTGCCGAGTAAAAGTGCAGTCATCGAATACAAATGTGCAGATATCGATTACTTCCCTCACACGTTAACCAATTATTTGACGATCGATGATAGCGATTAACATCTTGATTCCAGATTCATCGTAGTCAGATTTTCACCCTTGAGAACTTTCCGAAAACTGTTTGAAATCGTCAAAAGATATCGTCAATGTCCAAATGGAAAGCGCTTTCGATAGAAATTTTCTACGCGACGTTGATCCTAATTGATCATCCGGACTTATTGAAACGGTTCAACGAGAAGGCAGAAAAGAGAGTGCATTTCACACTTTATCACCGGTGTCTTGATCCCGTTGAACGTCCCGCGAGTTCCATATTCTTTCCCTTGTCCGCACTCGTCATCCATCTTTTGCTCCTTTTTTTTTTTTCTTCTTCCTTTTCCTTTTCAAATACGAAGCCTTATGATTCACCGCTCTTGTTACGCTTTTATTTCTCTGCTGTTTCGATTTGTTAGAAAACCGTGATAAGAGCTGTTATCGCTCCAAAAAAAAAAAAGAAAATTAACAAAATAATAAAATAATAAAATTAATAAAACAAAAATTCACACACAACACTGAAAATCACTCGAAAAAGAAAAAAAAAAAATTTTTAATTAACAAAAATTCGCACATAACACTGAAAAGAAATCCACTAATTATATATTTCCAAATAAAAGAATAAAAAATTTAAAGGACACGTGTTTGCAAGAGTTGCGTTTGTTTCATGTCGTTCAGTGTTTCCTTATTACCTAATCGGTCGTCGCAGGCCAACGACAACGCGACCGAGTCGTTAGCCCCGCGCGTACCAAGGCCCAGCCACGAAGACAACAAATTTTCTTTCGTATCTTTCCAGACGGGCTGGCAGGAAATGGGAAGCGGGCGAAGCTTTTGAAAAATAACTCGAGGCATCGCGGCGCACCCGGGGAATCCCGTGACTCAACCATCTCATTCCATTGTTCGGTGAAGCCGGGCAACAGCCGAAGGAGACGCAGGTATTTTTCAAGATTTTACCCCGTTCTGTGCTCTCTCCTGACGATGCCGCGGTGTTCCTCCGCCATCCTTCCAGTCCACGGTCATTTTTCTTTCTTTTCTTTTTTTTCTTTTTTTCTCTAACAACGAGCGCCAGAGCGATCCAGAAACCGCGATCGATCGGCCGGAGATTTCATTAGACCGTTCTCGGTAGATTGGTCACAGGTCGGCATGACCATTTATTGTCCGTCGAAACAAAGTGATTCGGCGAAAGTAGAGCGAGCCGCGGATGACACGCTCCGCAGAGTGGAATGAATTCGAAAGTTTTTGATCGCTGGCGCTTCTTTTATTCGGCCGTTCGGTCGTTAAGGCGGCCGACTCGGGAAACGGACCGCTGGACACACTCGCTCGATTCTCGTTTTTCTTTTTTTCTTTTCCTTTTTTTTTTTTTTTTTAATCGAAACGTTTTTTTCCAAAAACTTTTCTTACTATAGATAGTTTG